CCCCAGCCTCGGAAAGGGCCCGCTGGAGGGGCCACGCTCCCTGGGGCCCTTTCGGGCTCCTGCTCTGTTCCTGCTCAGCGGAGACCCGGGGAGGCTGTGGAGAAGCAGACAGAGGGTCAGGGCTTCCCTGGGGGGGGGGGGGGGGAGGGGCCGGGGGGGGGGGCTGGTCCTGGGCGGCAACTGGCAGGGGGCCACGAGGGGACTCGGAGGGGCTTCTCTCTCTCAGCCCAGCCCCCTCCGCCTTCCCTGGCAGGTGCCGAAGCTCCTGGAGATGATCCACCTGAAGCTGCAGGAGGTGCCGGAGGAGTCGGTCCGCAAGGCCACCCAGCAGACGGTCTGCATCCTGGCCAGCCAGCACAAGGCCGCGGTGGTGTCCAGCCTCCTCAGCCACAGCCTCCCCCTGGACAGGTAAGGGGGCTGGGAGCCTCCCGGGGGCCTTTTTGGCCGGGGGAGGGCAAGCACTCGGGGGACAGGAGGGCAGGGAGGGACCCCTTTCCATCCATTCCTGGGGAGGCCCTTCCGCTGCTCCTGAGTGGCCCCAGGCCGGCCAGGGTCTCTTGCGTGGCCTGCAGCAGGCGGGGGTCACTTCCCCTCTCAAGGAAGCCCCCCTCCCCCCACCCGGAAGGCCCTCTGGGTTCCCCGACTGGGCCGAGGGCCACGGGGGCCTTGAGAGCAGGGCCGGCAGCCTCCCCTTTCCCTTGGGCGGGGGCTCCTGGGGGCTCTGCCCAAGGCAGCTGCCCTCCCCTGGAAGGTTTTGCGGGCAGGGGTCCGGGCTGGGGGTGAAGGGGCTTCTCTGCCTCCCTGCAGCTGCAGCTGCACCATGTGGAGGGCGCTGGCCTCGGAGCCCACCCTGACCCCGCAGGTCCTGGAGCTGCTGCTGGACAAGGTGAACCGGGACGTCCCCTACAAGGAGAACAAGTCCTTCCTTCGAGGGAGCCGCTCGGAGCGCGTGGCCACCTTCTCCCCCCTCTCGGTGGGTGTCCCCCGGGGGCCCCTCCGCTCCCTTTCCCCTCCCAGTCGGCTGGGCCTGTGACGGGCAGGGGGGGCTGCCTGGGGCCCCTGTGGCGCTGGCCTGCATGGGAGGAGGGCTGCTGGGGGGGGGATAAGTGGGCTCCCCTCCCGGCTGATGCCTGGCTGAGCCCTCTGGGAGCCTGGCGCCCTCACCTGCCCCGGGGGGCCCCCTTGCCCTTGTGGCCCCTCCACTCGGCCTGCTTCCCTGCCCTGCGCTGGGTGGGCAGGGGGGGGTCTCTGGACGTCTTTGGGGGGGGCCCTGGCCCAGTGCTGAAGACCCCCTTGGACCCTTGGCTGCCTGCACTTCACTTGCCT